AATGTCTGTGCACACCTCTGACCACAAGGATAAAAACAAAGACTCCAAAATGCTACAGAAATATTTTCATTAATAAATAAAATACAATAAATAAATACAATAAAGGTTGTATGCTGTGCACAATATTAAGCAAGCTTGATAAAAAACTAAAATTAATATTAAGTGTTTCTTCCTTGGCTATGCTTTGCACACATAGCCAAACCGGTTAAGAAACAAAAATAATTCTCAGCAGCTGCACCTTTTACAAAAAATAAGTCTGAAACTGAAAAGTGCACAGAATTATTCAATCACACAGTGTTCAGAAAGTGCATTGTCCTCTATTCTGCACTTAAGATGAATGACTGCTTAGGTGCCACTGGTGGTAACACTGTATCGATACCTTTAAAAACAAGTATTGTACCCGGATGCAACGTTTCAGTATCGATACTTTTTTGAGTATCGATAATTTTGACAACCCTAGTGTTGGCCAATAAGCTTGACTTAGGTATCGATATTGGATTGGACCAGAAAAAAACTGAATCTGTGCATTTCTAATTGATAATAACACAAATTTAGATGTTAAAGCTTACAATACTAAATTCATCTAACTTTCAAAAGGTTTAGCATTCGGGTATTTAGGAATAAAGGTATTACAAATTCGTGAAGCCTGGAAGATAATGCTTTAACCTCTATGTTTTAATAGTACTTATCAATATAAAAATATGACTAACTCATATTTTACAAGACATAATAAATAACCCCAAAAATAAACAAAAATCTGTGCGACACCACAGACAAAGCAGTACAACACTAATTGGTACCTTTGAGGCTATTTATCTGCTTTAAAAACAAAGAGCAGATAAATAGCAACACAGTGAGAACTGTTTGTATGAAACGGTTTAAACTTTAAATTGAAAATAACAACAAAAAAAAAAACATTAGCAAAATAAATAAATGGTGCTGCCTGGAAGGTGGCCTGGGGTAACAAAAGAAGCTGAGGTATTTAAGCATCTTTTAGTTTAAACAATCAAAATACTTTGTGAAAATAAAAAACATCAGTTTAAATCTTAACCTTATAAAAAAAAAAGACCTACTCTGATAAAAAGTGTTCCTGCAGTAACATCTGCATCAGTGGAGAGCTGAGCTCCACAAAAACCTTGTAGTTTTTAAGAGTCTAATTTACCCTTTGGTAACTAATAACACATTGAATGATGTTGAAAGGGTACGATGGAGTATTTGGGCCAACTAAGAGATTTTGGTTTTATTTTGAGAATAAAGTGATAACATTACTATAAAAAAAATTGTACTAGTACGAGAATAAAGTTGTAATATTAAGAGTATGAAGCCATCATACAACAACCAGTTTCCGACCAGCAGAAGACGATCGACCAGCACCACCAAACAGCAACCTGAGTCCACTTTGACATACTGCCTGATTTGATGCTGGTGTGTTAAAAGATTTTCTTATATGTCAAATCAGAGCCAAAGCATAACTTCACATGATGCTCGATATTCCTCATTTTAGCGAAGAAAGTGCTTCTTGTGGGAGTTGTCATAAAATACAACTTGTTTCTCATAATTTTAGGACTTTATTCTCTTAATATTACAACTTTATTCTCCAAATGTTACGACTTTATTCTCGTAATTTCACGACTTTATTCTCGTAATTTCACGACTTTATTCTCGTAATTTCACGACTTTATTCTCGTAATGTTACGACTTTATTCTCGTAATTTCACGACTTTATTCTCGTAATTTCACGACTTTATTCTCGTAATTTTACAACTTTATTCTCGAAATAGATGAAAAAATAATCTCTAGCCTGGCCCTAACACTCTGCATTTATATTTAAACAAAGCAACTTGTCCAGTAAACACATCAACATTCCTATATGCTCCACTGATTGAATAGTGGAGCATATAGATTAAAACTCTCAAGATAAAAAGCAGATTAATAAAAAAAAAAAAATTTAAAAAACAGCTGCAGTGTTTAAGCCATATTGGAAATTCTGACCTCTAAAAGAATTCACCAAATGTACACTTTGATAAAGAGTATGTAAATTTTCTCTATTACTAGAACCTTTTCCATTTTAGACCAATGGATGCATGGGAGGAAAAGAGTTTGCCTAAAGATGCCTGAAATTTTCTGAAATGTTTAAGTAAAAACAAAAAGTTAAGGTGTTGCCAGTAGGTTACCATAAATGATTTTAAATAAATATTATCCATCTTATCTTTCTGAAGGAATAGGAATTGTGTTTATTTATAGTATACAATTCCATTTGCCCCATTGCTGCTTTATTAAGAAAAATAAATAAAAATTACATACACCAGTTTTCAAAGTTTAATCTTTTAAAAAGACTGAGCATGTTTTATTCTGTTTAAATCTACCTACTTCAATATAATTCTTCTTAAATAGAAAATTAATAAGTAAATAAAAAAAAAAAAAAAGACAAATATAGTAAACTCTGTAGTCAAAGCTAAGAAGGGTTCGAAGGAACAATACATCTAAGAAAAGCCCGAATTAAACTTCCACATCAGCCTAAATTAGGAACCATACATGTCAAATGTAGAAACATGCAATACCTATAATGGTGAGGAGGACATTCGTTTTACATAGCACAAATGATCTGTGTATATTTTTGATCAACATTAAAAATGGCTTAAATTTCCACCTTGAAAAAACCTTTTCTGAGATTGACTTTACTTATTTCTGTAAGACAAACCAATTTCTGTCTCTACTTTTATTCATCAGCGTCTCCTCCCTGGGTTCTCTGATACGTACCTGACATTGACATTCATGACCTTGTCATATTGAGCCATGTCTGTGGTCTCGATGCTGCCATATTCCAAGACGCCTGCGTTGTTAACCAGGACATCCAGTCGGCCAAAGTGGGCAATAGTTTTCTCCACAGTCTTCCTCACTGTGTCTTCATCTGTCAGGTCTCCGGGAACAAGCAGAGGCTGCAGAAGAAAACTCCCATTTTATTATGGTTTTTGATAACCGTCTTAATCCTCTGTGGCATTGATTCAACAAGGTACTGGAAACATTCCTCAGAGAGTCTGGTCCACATTGACATTATAGAGTCATACAAACGCTGCACGATGTTAGAAATGGACTCATTGTCATGTTCAAGACACCAGTCTGACATGATTTGCACTGTATGACATAATCCTGCTGGAAGTATTCATCAGGAGATGGATTGATGGGGGTTATAAAGTGATGGACATGGTCAGAAACAATACTCACGTAGACTGCAGTGTTGGCATGATGGCCAATGTGAACTAATGAGGCCAAAGTGTGCCAAGAAAATGCACCCACGCCATTACACCATCACCAGCCTGAACCGCTGATACAAGGAAGGATGGATTCATGGTGTTGATGCTAAATTCTGATCCTAACATCAGAATGTTGCAGCAGAAATCCAAACATGGGCGTGCTTCGGTGCCGCAGTGGTTAGCACACACGGCCCATGTGCAGAGCCCCTAGTCCTCGACGCGGCCGACCCAGATTTCGAATCCAACCTGTGGTCCTAGGCCGGATGTCCCTCCCTCCTCTCTAATACTCCCTTTCCTGTCAGCCTACTGTCCAAAAAAAGAGTCACTAGTGCCATAAAAACTCAAAAAAAAAATAAAAAGAAATTGAGACACATCAGACCAGGGAACATTTTTCACAATCTTCTTTTGTCCCTTTTTGGTTATCCTGTGCAAATTGTAGCCTGTTTTTAGGTAACAGAAGTGGCACAAAGCGTGATCTCCTGCAGCTGTAGCCTATCCACATCAAGGTTTGAGATGTTGTGTATTCAAATATGCTCATCAGCATCTTGCCTTTCCATCTGCTTCAACCAGCCTGGCCATCTGTCTCTGGCCTCAAAGCGGCATTTGCACCCAAAGAAGTACAGCTCACTGTCTATAATTCTTTTCTTAGGATCATTCTCTCTAAACCCTAGAGATGCCTGGCCATGAACATGCACAGGGACTCAAAACTTCCCACAATGCATCTTGAAAAATAGAACGCATCCATGGTCACCAGACAAATTCTCCTCACAGCACATCATGGGATTTATTTTGTGGGTGAGAGTGAACAAAGATGACATCAGCAGTAAGTCACATGACCAACAGGGAGGGAAAAGTAGTGGTCATCTGTCCGAATGGTCAGTTAACTTAATTCACTATAAAGGTCATTACTGTATATAGTTCATGCTATATGTGGTGATTGAGGGCAGTGGCATAACGACACAACAATAGGCCTGTAAGCAACATTATCTGGCTGGGCCCCATATGAAGTAAAACACCCCATGGCCACTTCCCGCTGCCCCCTAACCCCAACCCATATGTTGGGGTATAAATATGGTCCAATCAGTCAACTTAGTATCAGGTAGGTTTAAGAGGAATTTTTAGCACCATCACATCTGCAAAGACACGTCCAAGTCCAAGTCCTCAATTGCGTGGGGTCCAACCAGGTGTCAGTGAAGGGGCCCCTAAGAGGTCGGGGGCCGTAAGCAACTGCAGTCTCTGCTTAACGGTAGTTATGCCATTGATTGAGGGGTTAGGGTGGATGTTCAGACAAAGCCATGTCTACATGCCTAAACACATTAAGTTGTTGCCATGTGCATTTAGACAGGTGTAGCTGATAAAGTGGCTGGTGAGTATGTAAAGTTACACTATATACTGAAAAATGTATATTGTTCATACAACAGGTCAACAGAAAACATTTCAATGGGTTGAAAATATTGGTTTATAATAAAGGTTAAAAATATAGCTACAGATATTCATACTTTTTTATTTTAGTGCAATTTTGTACACAGCTCTTATTAATAAAAAGTGTACCTCAGCGGCTCCACTTTCAGTGCACTGTGTGGCTACTTTCTGGAGGCTCTGGACGTCTCTGCCGTTCAAAGCCAGCAAAGCTCCAAGTTTCGCGAACAGGACGCTCGTTCCTGCCCCGATCCCCGAGCTGGCTCCCGTTATCAAGGCCACTTTCCCCCTCAGGGATGACACCTGTTAAAACAGAGAAAAGAAACAACAAACAAGTATTAACACTTGACGTGTCCGAATACCTTTTACCCAAAGGTAAACAGAGGAGCAGAAAACGAAAGCTTTTCACCAGTTTGATTTTAACAATTAAAAATTAATTTAAAGACACGTGCACTCACTTTAAACGCGTCCTCTGAAGCCATTTCTGCAAAGTTTGCTAATTTAATGGACGACTGTCCCCCACTGATGACGCAATACGATGAGCCGGTAGCTAATTTGTAGTTCATAAAGGAATCCACCACCACCACGGCTGACTCCAAACAAACAAGAATATAACTTAATTCAAAAATAAGGATGAAATGTATCCTATAGTTATTTCACATAGTGAGAGGTTTAAAGTGTTAACTGATGACTCACATTCATTTAATGTGTATGAGCAGGGGCACATTTTAGGCAGCATCGGTGGCTGATATATGGGGATAAATAAAAGTAAGTAAAGTCTGTGGAGAGATTTTTATTTATTTAAGGTATTTCTTAAAATGAGAAAAGCCAGATAGAATGTAGGTATTTGGGGTTTTTAAGTCAGTTTTTTTTTTTTTTTTTTTTTTAAGTCTGTTCTGTACTGATATATGAATACATATACAGTTGTGCTTGGGAATTTACATACCCTCTCTATTAAAGGAAATTAGAAATCCACATTAGTACTTCTAAAAATACAAAACTGAAAAAAATAAATAAAAAACTTACTTAATGATAATTTAATAGAATACTGATTTCATTATTTTTTTGTTTTGTGTTTTTTTTTTTTTTTTGCCTCATAAGAGCAGCTCAACAAATTGTTTACTTGTTTAACATATATAATATATATATATATATATATATATATATATATATATATAAAAGCAGGCTTTTTTGTGTGCTAAGATGCTACACACAGACAAGCAAGAATACAGTTGGCCTGAATAAATATTGGAAAATATCATTTGGAATTAACAAATGCAAATTACACAGGGAGGGCCTCTTAACAGATATTAGAAATATAAGAGTATATAGATGTATCATGCCATTAGTTGTAATGGCAAACTCTTCCAAACTTTGAAGTAGAACAGCAAATTTCCAACAACTTTAAGTGGGTCTTCGAGAAATTAGCTAAAATAAAAGGTGACTTATACCAACATTTTCTTCCAGAACGTCACAAGCATTTTTTTTATATATTACAAGTAACACTTTTTGAAACTTTTATGTGATATTCTGATTATATTTTCTGGACACAAACCGGTGAGTTTTATGAAAGATATAGGGAATTAGTTAATTCCATAAAAACTCAATAAAGTAATTGGTAAGGTTTATGAATGTTTTACAGAATTACTTTAATTCCTGAAAAAAATTGGAATATTTTAACATCTATAAACAAAGTATGTAAAATATGAAAAAGTGATAAATACCGGTAATCAAGGCTATTTTTATTTTTCCAGCTTATAACATTTCAGCAGGCTAGTCTTGACTTCATAGAATGTACCATCCAAAAGAGTTTTTCCAAGTCTCAGATGGCCTTTTAGCAAATGTCACAATAAGATTCACAGAAAGAAATATCTCATGTAAGTTACAAAGTCTTGTATGAGCAGTGGGTCTTTCCTTTATCCACAGCTTTCCTGTTTGTCCCAAGAAATACACACTACATTTATCTGATCTGTGTCCAGTTTAGGAAAAAACACAGTGCAATGTTCTCAGCCATGCAAAGCTTCACTTTGATTACATGTAAAACTTGATCTTTGTTTAGAATTGAGTCTTGTCCCAGAGTCTGGTGGAAGAGTGGAGAAGCAGAGAACTAGTTACTTGATACCCAGTGGAAATAAATGAGTTGTGAAGGCATGTGATGTAATTGGATATTGAATGTCCACAGCCCAATATTGAAGTCCCAAATCAGCACTGTCTTCTTCCAGGACACTTAACTCTTTCCACCAGGAAACACTGGTAAATGTACTCAATAACTTCTAAAGGTAAACTGAGCTTTCATAGAGACTTATGTGAAATAAAGGCTTATTGCCTCCATGCCATGATGCACTGATTCATGCTAACAGGAGCCACTATCATGCACTGATTACATCATATACAGCACATAACATGGATGCATTTTCAGTAAGTTGAGATGTCAAAAAAGCTTTTTTTTAATGCAGGATCCATGTTTTCTTTAGAATGTGATGCACCTGAAATTTTGTTCTACATCCATTACGAGCTCTTAAGCAACTTTCCATAACAGAGACTATAATTAAATGAGACAAAAACATATAAAACAATTTATTTAGCCAAGAAGACTTGGTATCTGTTTAACAAAAGGCATATGATAAAATACAGAACATTGAAACAGAAGAAAGGCTCAATTATGTTTCCAGCTTAGGCGTGGTTGTGAACAATTTTTCAGGAACCTTTTTTAAACCATTGAGCCATCTTGGTGGTTTTTTTTTAAGTGGAGCTAAAGAAATGGGCAAATACTGTGATTATAGATTTTCTTTCTTTAAGTTTTTAATCATCAGTTGAGATTTAGGAAAAATCCAGTAAGTGAGTTTCCTTTTTGGTAAAAACACAACTGAAACTAAGAAGCTTCATAGTTAGTTATTTCCCATTGGGTGTATTTGCTCCAGTTTCTTGTCTCCCTGTGAAAAGCAATTCACTTGAACATTGTCAAGGCACTGCATCTTCTGCCCCACTGAAACAACAACAAAAAAACAACATCTGAGATGAAAGATGTCTATCCAGCAAATGGGTTAGCATGGATAGTCACATCCTTTATCCGGCTCTCAGTAAGTGGACGGAACGTCTTCTCGTTTACCGGCAGCTTCTCCAGCTCATCAAGCGTTTCTAAGCCATCAATGATCCTACATGTTGAAAGGTGATATTGGGAAAAAAAAAAAAAAAAAAAAGAGAAAGCAAAATTAGGAAGATGTATCAAAGATATTTGCAGTAAAATCAATAAATAGATAGAACATGTATCATTACAGCTGTTTAAAAGGCATATATGTCATACTTTCCAAACACTGTGTACTTCATGTCCAGGTGAGGTTGTTTGGCATATGTGAAGAAAAACTGGGAACCATTGGTGTTCGGGCCATTATTTGCCATTGACACCACTCCTCTGACATTGTGCTGAAAAGAGAGAAAAAGGTGATCCAGCTGAACTATTGTTGCTTAAAAAAAGCAGTCATTGGGTTTAAGTTAATCTCAACCAACACTCACCTTTAAGTGCTCACTGAACTCATCTTCGAACTTGCGACCCCATATGCTCGTTCCTCCTTTACCTGTACCTGCAAGACATTTTTAAATCATTTAATCATTACATCTAATCCAGGGATTGTGAATTTTTCTAAGAGAAATGATTGAAAATCAAACCCCAAAGCAATACCTGTTGGGTCTCCAGTTTGAACCATGAAGCCTTTTATATTTCGATGAAAGGCGCAGCCATTGTAGTAGCCGCTTGCACACAAAGCCAGGAAGTTCTGTAAAGTAAATTAAATTCCAGTGTTCTCAGTATGACTTCAGATTCACTAAAGCTGAGTGATAACAACCACAACTGTAAACATGAAATGTAAATGTACATTATTTAGTAGCAGAAAAACAAATAATCTCATAGCTCGGTGTTGTTAAATTCCAACCTTTCTTGTCCCTATAATAGATCCAGTTTGAATCCCCCTGATTCTACTCACTAATCAGCTGAAAAGTATTTCAATGAACATCGTTCTTCTTAGGTCAAAATTTGTTTTTAAACTTACCTCACAAGATCTGGGAGCGCGTTCACAGAACAGCTCGATCTTAAGATCTCCTAGATCTGTGTGGAGAGTAACTGCCTGAAATATCACAAGAGGTCAAACAGAAATGTTAATAGAATAAAAACCAATGATGCGCGCAGCTTTCCTATCAGCTCAGTATATAAAGTAACGCGACTGCATCCGTGATTTTAACGTGATTATCGCGATATAAGTATAATTAAAAATAGCGTCACTGACTAGACGAGATGGATGTACAGTTTACTGAAACCAAAGCCAAACTTTTAAAATAGATTACAAAGAAATTACCATTTTGAATGTTGCCTCTGTGATGTTGTGCACGAAACAAACTACTCCGGAAAGAAACAACATACTCCGCACTATGGTTCCGCTGGTAATCACAGGGCGCCCGTTTTAAAATGCAAATTGTTGCTGTAAGTAAACATTTTCATTTTACTGTTAACTGGAAATATTTGAGGTAAAAAAAATCTGCATAGGGGTGTTTGCATACTACCAGAGCTATTAAGATACAGATTACTGTTGCTAGCATAAATGTCTTAAAGCCTTTATATATCTATATCTATATCTATATCTATATATATATATCTATTGTTATGAGCTTTTCTCTTCTTAAAGTGAATAAGTTTATTATTATTATTTGTGGCCCAGCTTTGAGGACACACAAAAAGAAATCCACAAAGGCCAAAGATGCACCATGGACTAAGTGATTTACGCAGGCAAAAGAAACAATTTTCCAGGTAAACTCCTTTAATTTTCTCAGTTTATTTCTCCTCAGGCAAGCAAACAGAAAAGGACAAACATTTCCTCCATGCCTCTCTTGTGCTGTTAAAAAAACATACGCCCACCCAGATGCATGCTGGTCCTACCATTGACTGCCTATTTATAAAAATAATTCACCCAAATTAATCATAAATAACCAAAAACAAAGAAACATGACTAAATAACCAAAAAACATAATCTCATAATATATATCAAAAAATAAAGTGAATAAACTTAGCTAGATTATGCACAAAAACAAAAAAACTTTTAAATTAACAAAAAATAATTGGCTCCTACATTATTATTAGTTTACAGTTTACAAGTGATACATGAACAGATATATGACACAGAGGGCTTTCTTTGCCATCCCACTACAAAGGAAAGACAAGAGAACATCCAAGTAAGGCAGATGTGTGTTGATCTCAGTATAGGAAATGGCTAAAATACTGAGGGCTCCAAATCTACTCATAAAATCAATATTTGTGAGACTTTGCAATTTACATAGTATATTAACTTCTTATTTTTTTGGACATTTCTATCAGGGGAACTCTATCAATAGAACACAACTCATCACATAGACAAAAGAAAATCTGAAAAATGTATTCAAACTGGTGT